TATTCGCCGAAGGCGAAGTGATTACCGGTGAATATTCACCGAGACGAAGTCGAGGTGAATATTCACCGTAATCACTGAGCCTGAGGCGAATAATTGTTTTAGTATAAATTTTTAATGAATAAAACAAAATATCCAAGTTATCCAACTATAAATTTAATTAAAATTCAGAAATAAAACTGTTTTCGACCGGTTTACGGTTTAGTGTTGCAGTGTTTCTTGTACACGCACGCTTTCAAAATGGCTTCCTGTGCGACTTTATTGCTTTATTACAAAGTTATTTTTCTCGATTTCTGCTTAGAATATAAACACAATGATGGAATGACTTTTTACCAGACTTAGAATTAAAAAATAGTTTCTGTTTAGCATTAATTTGTTCAGGAAATGGCTGAGAAATTTGGTAAAATGAAATGTAAAACTATATCGTTCGAATTAATATAAAAGTTTTAATACACTTTTCACTTTACAAGTTTTAAAAACACAAATAGTACAATACAGCGAAAGGACACCATACAGCACAATGAAAACACGACATAGTCAAAAGAAATAGTATCGTACAAATTGAGATATTTATAGGATACAAAACAAAATTGTTTTAAAAAGAATATCACGGCTTTTCCCAAAAGTCTGGATATTTTTTGCTATTTCAGATTTACGTTTGAAGCGAATGTTTCGGAGTTTTAAATAAGTTTTAAATTGTCCGTGAATATGTTTGACACAGTAATATAATACTAAATCCTACCTTTCAAGTTAAATACAACATTTTGTGCTTTTTTTCTTTTTCTGGGACGATTTTTTCAATATTTTGTCGATTTTGAAACCAAATTTGACGAATCATTCTTTTTGAAAAGCATTATTTACTACCCAGGTGGTAAATAATGCCTCAGATTTACTAGTCAACTAGCCAATCAGAACGCGCGAAAGCTCATTTGATATGCAAAATTTATACTAAATATATATATATATATATATATATATATATATATATATATATATATATATATATATATATATATATATATATATATATATATATATATATATGCTAAACCATCATATTTTCCGTTTCAGGCTGGTTTTAACGCCGGTGACGGGATTAGATACTTTAATATTCCAAACTCTCGTACTCCTGCCATTATCAACATTACTTCAACATCAAATTATCAAGATCCTGGGTTGTGGATATTTCAAGTAGATGGAGAGTCTGTTGAAAATCATGGTTGCGTATCGAGCGGCGGTATGATATTTTTATGTGATTACACAAATGTTATTTTAAAGAATTAAGTTCAGCAGGTCAAACTTATACTTGAAATAGGGAAATCGATATTATGTATAATAACATAATTCTTGGTCGGACAGAAACCTTTAAAGTTGTTAAAATTTTATTTGCGCCCATGATTTTTGATGAACTTTAATTAGACTTTGCTAATGCATTCCATTCCCTGGTGTAAATATCCGTGCCGGCGAATTACTACACTCGCGCCGGGCTTAAGCTGGAATGGCGCTCCAGGACTAAACGAAGTGAAACAAAACACGATGTTTTTTCCGAGTTAACTTATTTATCCCCGAGCCACGCGTGGAGTGTGTTGGGCATGCCCATGGCGAGGGTACTAATTCGGCTCGGGTATATTTACCGTACACCCGGGAAAAGGAAATCATGAGCAAAGTCTAAAGTTCATCAATAATCCGGCAGATATTTCTTTAATGTTGAATAATGTTTAGAAAATGTGGGCAAGGATTTCTTATATGCATGTATTTCTCGTAAACTAGAAATACATGCATACAGCAACCCCTCGCATGTATTTTCCAAACATTGATTTAACATGAAGTATATTAGTAATTGGTCAACACTGAACGCAATTGCAAGCTCGCGTTTACGTCAGTGTTGCCATGGCAACAAGATAATTTTAATTTTTATTATATTTTTTGTACAATACGCCAAAAATAGTTGAAAGATTATTGTTTTTAACTATATAACAATGAATTTCCGAAATATGTACCATGTATAGGTATGTTGTCCTGCATTTTGTGATCGAGCTTTGATTTAATGTAAAATTTAACCTGAATCGCTTCGTAAAATGTTTTGTAATGTTCATTTTAATATCAAACTATAAACTGCTTTTTCCGATAAACTGTTTTTACTTTATAAAACAAAATAAGTTCAAATTGTTTGAATAATTTCAGTTCGGTTTTCAAATTAATTTGCTCTCCTTTAGTTTACCTGTTTTTCTTAAATTAAACAAGGTAATTTAGCAAACTTTAATACAGCTTCATTGAAAAGGAAAGCAGTGCATGTTTTACGCAATAAATTAAAGCAACAAAATTCATGAGCATTGAACATTCAAAGCAAACTTGCCCTATATTCCACGATTTTCCACAGTAAATCAATTCTTCTCATTTCTTCAAACAAAAATTGCTTCAAAGCTCATTGTGTGAAACGAGGTTTTCCAAATATATGCTTTTGAAAATTGAAATATTGTTTATCCCACTAGAGATTTTTGAGATCAGTGAGGATGACCACCCACGGTTGGTGACCCACGCCCGCGGTCATTGATGAACTTTAGACTTCGCTAGTGCTTCCCTTTCCCCGGGTGTAAATAGCCGGGAGGAACTAGTACCCTCGCCCCGGGCTAACACCCGGAACGGCACTCCGCGCTGTTGGCTCGGGGATTATGACACCAAATGTTCGCCATATATTGATAAATAGGTCATACAGACGGCCAATTAGCCTTGAAAAGTTTTCTTTGACAAGATTTCTTGTTCGTGTCTTCCGCAATAAATTCAATTGATCGCGTGGTCAATGTTTAGTAACAATAATGAAAATGGTTTCAAAATATATGTGTATAGGTCTCGTGCTCTCGCCAAGATCAGGAATCGAATTAGGAGGAACTAAAATGTTCATTGGCGGACCTTGTTATAAACCTGATGATCAAATTGTGTGTCGGTTCAACAAGACTATTGATGCTGATGCTGTGTATGTCAGTCCAGAACTAGCATATTGTATCACTCCACCATTGTATGTTGTTGGTCTTATCCAAGTTGAGCTCTCATTGGATGGCGGTGTAACATTCAACTATACTGGCACCTTCAGATCAAGTGAGTTGATTGACAGAGATTTTGATTCAATTTAATTAGCCATAATATTATAAAAATATTTATATTCTAGTGCAAAATCCGATTATAGTGAATTACGTATAGATCGATGACTATATATATCAACACATTACGTACAATGAGTGAGAGGTAATTTAAACATCTTTTGGTCACAATAAGTTTAAAATATATAAAATTGAAAGTTGCGCGTAGTGTTCAACAATCCGAACAACGATGCGTGCTGTCCACAATTTGATAAATTACGATTAATACTTGCAGGGACTACATATAGTATATATATTTTCACCAATTCCATTTTCCTATTTTGTACAGTACACGGTATTATTCTCTCAAGCATTTGTAAGGTTTTGGCCAAAATATATGTTTCTTCTTAACGACGTCAGAAAACATTAATTAGTAATATGCATGATCTTTTCTATAGTTCCTTTAGGTAGAAATCCTCCAGATATACAAGGGTTAGAAGTGGAACATTGGGCCAACTCGACTAAAACGGTCTTAATCTGGAATCAAAATGAATTCAACGAGTCACACGTTGACATTGAAATATTTCTGTTTGATACCTTTGAGTTCCGTCTTCATCAAGCTAGTTTAACTAGCTTTAAACATATCCCTAACTCCGGGAGCTACCATCTTGATTTCAGCCAGGAAAATATTTCTACGAGGTAAGTACTCAAAATAAAGCACCTTCATCTTTAATTTTTTTATTTTGTTAACTTCTATATATCTTCTTGAATGGTTTGACATATAATCCACCCGAGTATTTTACGAGAATGCGAGAAACGAGTAAAATGTTAATTTGGCAGAATTATATTACAAATCATTCAATAGGATTTTTGACCTGACATACCTCAAGAACTCAACTAGATTTCCTTGTCTTATTTGAAGGATTTGCAAGCATTTTTGAAGGATTTGCAAGCTATTTAAACGGCAAATAATTTTGCAATGAAAACAAAAATCATGGAACAGGTTATATGAAGTTCCATACCAGTTTAGGAACAATCTAGCACTAACGTCATCGCGATCGTTCTTCAATTTGATTGGATAAAATATCACAACAAAGAAACCTGTCAGTCAAGTTTTTGAATAAATCACATTTTTCATCTGCCACAAACAAGAAAGCTGTTTTGACAACCGGCAGCTGGGAGGTCCGTACTAAAGAAAATAGTCAGGGCTGTAACTTGGGTATTACAGCCGGGGGGGGGGGGTGAGTTTGTTTTGCCCGACCAAAAAGGGCGTGGCGAAAGTGTTGTACCCGACGGAAATTTCAGTCGCTAATTTATGTTTCTTTTCCCAAAATTGTTGGCGAGAGGGCGGGTGGGGGGGAATCTGTACAATTTTTCAGTAATATTTTTGTGATTGTCCATAATTTTTGCTAATTTGCATATTTTCTTCCCGATAAGCGTGTCGTTAAAATTGCCCGACGGAACTGCAATATTACAGCAGGTTCGAATACGAGTCCCTCCCTCCCCCCCAGGGGTTACGCCCCTGTTGATGGTTCATAGTTGTTAATAATAAAACTCCAACAAAACTCCAGCATTGGTAAGTACATTTGGATGAGATCGGTTACGTTTGGATAAAAACCTTTAATGCAATAAAGCTTTTCTACTGAACAGGACAATAAAGGAAGTAAATGTTGAGCAGTACGAACAAGCATGAAAAATGCCTTTTGACGTACATGAACTGTAATTGTGAAATTTGTAACTGAAATTTGTGTGTGAAACTGTGAAATTTTAGTTGCCGAGAACATTCTGTTTGTTACAACATTTACAAAAAAGTATTTGACCGAACTGAATTTTTATGTCCATTAATGTTTTTGTTTTAAATACAGGGGCGTTGGAACCGGGGAGCCAGGTCCCCCCAACTTTTGCCAAGTGTCCTTTTTCCGGGAGCAAAGTGCCCTTTATTTGCGTGAAAAATTTTCATTAAGATTGCATTTTTGCCCAAAGGTCACTTTTGAAAACTTGAGTCTATGTTATACCCGGAAAAATTTTTTCATTTCCGAGAAAAATCTTATATATCCGGAAAATTTTTTGGTATGTCCAGAAAAAATTTTTCGTACTGAGGAAAAAATGTGGTATTTTTTGAAATTTTTTTTGGTATGTCCGAAAAATTATTTTTGAGGTGATCTCCCCCACCGTCGCCAACATTTCCGGGAAAAAATTTTTAGATGCCTTTTTTTTCGAAAAGTTCCCTACAAAGCCTCCCCCCCCCAACTTTTAGAAGTTTCCTATGCCCCTATTTAAATGCTCATGTTTTCGGCCACTTAAACAGATAATCTAAAAGAAATATTCCACCTCAAACATGTGTCAACCTGACAACCTTAAAACTTAAGGTTTAACTGCGGTGAAAAATGCTCTGCGTATGAACGAGATTTTTCATATTCGGAAACTGATCAGGCTTTTACCGGTTGAATGACATGTTCTTCATGCCAAATGGATAAAAATTGAGCAAATACGAGTCCGATAAAAATGTTAGTGAGAATCGCATGTTTTCATCGTTGAGAGTTGGGTCTAAAACGATTAAAAATAAACCCCTTTTCGGACTTAAGTTGATGAAAATTTGTTTCAATAAACTACGCGCATATCAATAATCATTATTAAGTACAGTAGGAATAAATAGTCTTAGCTTAGCCACGACAAGTTCGTGATACACTGCTTTAATTAGGCACAGAGGTAAAAATATGCGATTCTGACTAACGTTTCTGCTCGTTTTTATTCACTTGGCATGAAAAACATGTTATTCAAAAGCCTGATCTTTCCGAATATGAAAAAATTGTATATACGCCGAGTAATTCACGTACAATAGAGCGCTGAAGTTCGATTACCTTTTTTCATACACAATGTGTATATCGTAAAGAACAAAGTCAATGTCTGTAAAGCATGACTATTTTGGAGAAAAATTCAAAACCTGCACATTCACAAGTGATCTTCAGGGGCGGATCTAGGATTTTTCGTACCTCAGTCAAAATTTTTTTTGTGGACGGGGCGTTATCGGCGCTGGGCGTGGTTGACTCCAGACGGGGGGAGTTGGCGCTAAATGCTGATAGTCCGCCATTGGATTTTTAGAATTTTCCCTACATAAAATGCGATTTGGTCCTCCCCCCACACCTATAAACCTAAATCCTAATTTACCAAATTATAGAACATATTTAGATTAAAATTGATAAACTCAAACGAACATTTGATTCTTATCCACAGGCACTGTAAGAACAACTACAAATGCACAAAGATATATTGATCCTATTTCAATACAAAATTTTATAGATATGTTAGAATTATATAATACTTTAAAACTCATCAGCAATTTAACATGTTTGCCTGTGGATTAATGAATCGTCGTCATATTGGTACTATATGCTTATAAGTGTATCATTGTAAAACTTCTAAAATCATATGGCAGCAAATGCATTAAGGAAATATACTGTTCTGTTACCAAAAACACAGAACTATACATAACAAGTAATTGCCAGTAGCCTAAGCTCTAAAAAACAACCACGTATTCACTAACTAAGTCAAAGATGTTAAGTCAAATATTAATAAACTAAACCCTTACTATTAATAAAGTCTAACTGTGGTCTATATATTGAATACAAAATATACTATTAATAAACTAGTAACATCAGAATGGCTACCAGTCAATGAGCTTTTCAAGCTACATAATTAAATATTTCACATCATCATGTTACATCAGACCAATGCGGTCTAACAAGCCATGTCGATAGGCTATGATAAACAATACACGTATACGCGTTAACGCGTACATGTTGTGTGATTAATGCATAAATATAAAGAAATTTTAAATAAAACTTCACCAACATGAGAATCAACAAATGCTTACAATGTTGACGCGAGAATTATGCTAATACAGCAATACAGCATAGCGAATATATTAAAATATCATATGTCAGACAATCATTAACAACATCGATGGCTTGGTACTCGGTAACTCTGGTTTGTAAACCTTTAATATGAACTAAGATACATCACTATAAAACCATAAATTTATCTACCTTATTGCAGTGCAAGC